TTCAATTAGGTGTCCTTTTGTACAGGAGCAAAACCGAAACCGACCCAAACCGACCCAACCCGACTCAAACCGACCAGGTCAATTTGGCCTATCAGTGGGTCGGTTTTGGTTTCCACCTCAGGTAACCCGACCAGGTCGGGTCGGTTGGGAAAACCCCAATAAACCGACCCAACCCGACCCGTGAACACCCCTAGGTTCAAGGATGAGCAAATAGTTTGACTGATGAAATGGCAAAACAAGGGTAAACAGAACCCATCCTTTTTTAGAAAAAACCATCTAATAAATGCTTGTAATCAGTGGGAAAAGGGCTAGGTAGTAGATGCTAGTGTACACTTTATGGGGTGCTTAGCACTTGTTGTATGAAACCCATTCTTCTTCCATGATGAAAACATTTTAACTGTAACCAATTAAAAAAAGCAAAGTAGAAATGCATATGCTGAGATGGATGAGTAGAAAATGTCAAAAAACAATAAAGGATGGGTTCAGAAATCAAATCAAACGAAGAAACCTAGGAGTAGCTCAAATGGGTGATAAAATGAGAGAAAGTAGACCCACCTAGGCACCTATAGCATCTGTAAGAAGAAGTGATCTATTGCAAGTTGAAGGGATTAGAAGGGCTAGAGACAAACCAAAGAAGACATGGGTTGAAGTGATAAGAAATGATTTAAGCACTCATAATTTAGCAATGGATATGGCACTGAATAGAATGGATGATGGTGATGATAGGGTGGACCTATTGACATGATTGTATGTCTTCACCTCACTTGTACTCTCTTCTATTTTAATAGATTTTTCTTCCTCACTAATAAAACAAACATAAATGTAGACAACAAAATAAAGAATAAGGGGTGTTGGTTGGAAAGAATAATTCTCAAGAGGTCAAGAAGTTACAGAAAGGACATTGAGTACCATTTCTGTTTAAAGCTAACAATATTTTAAACTTCTAGTTTATTAGTAACAAAGAAGTGGATGCTGAATATGCCATACGCAAATTAGGACTAGTGGAAAGATTCATATGTGAAAACTCCAGATATCCATGCATAAGATGTACATGGTAGTTTAAGGCAGCCATAACCCTAACAGTCAGTAAAAAAGAAAAAAAGAAACAAAAACAGTTGTTTGTCACTCTCTATTGGTGACAGACTTTCATTCAAACCCCACTTACTGCTCATATACAACAAATATGCAAATAAAGTAATATAAACCAAAAGGTCAAAAACAAGAATTAGATTATTCTCATGCAAAACCTAAAGTGTAAACCAGCAAGAACCCAAAGTTTTCTCCTCAAAGTTATTAACAGAATTATCATCATTCAATCTCAAATTAAATGCCATTACCAGAAAGCACAAGATGGGAGAAAGAAGGAGATAAATATCTCCCACAAATACAGCAAAAATATCATTAAGGAATGCAACTACCTGGTATTCAGAGAAAAGTTGGATGACGAAAAGGATGGATCAGCTCTAGCACTATCCCTAGCAGATGCCCCACCAACTGCAGTGCTGCTAACTCCACCACAGCTGGTAGCAGAATACCTTTGCATTTCTCCCCACAATTACCGGCATACTTCCTCCACCATCCGAAACCTATAAGAAGCTACACAAGCTAGACATCATCACCGAATGCACAGATTTCAACTCATATCTGACTGTAGAACATCAAAGGCAAGTCCTCCAACAGAATTTATAAAGCATTTACATTGAATAAAGATTCAATTGCTAGCCTCCACCGCAAGAGTATCATGTATAAAGCTTTTATCCACAACCTTAAGTTGCAAATTTCCAGTGCATGGTTCTGGGAGATGAGGAAAAATCTTCCTTTGCTCTCAATACAGAAGCTTATGTTGGAGCAAATATAAATGGTACAAAGAAGCATAATTCTAGCATTCGTGATGTATAGTTCTACGCAGTCAAGTTGAAAGGTCGGAGAAAATATTCTAGCAAATAAAAATCAAGAGTTAACTGACCAAATGGAACCCATGAACTTAAAATAAGCGTTTCCTGTGCTTCCTTAGCCCTTTAATCCAAAACGCAACTTCCCTGGCATCAAGACGTAACCTTTGTGGAAAATCAAAGAGAAGTTTAAAACTTTTAAACCCAAATAAATGACCAATATTATTCTAAACAGTTAAATGTTAAATTTCCAATAAAAGAGTAATACTAGTTAACAAGAAGGAGGAATTCAAAAAAACGACAACAAATGAACAAGGCTTGATCTGACAACGGAACTGTGGTAATGAGCTACACTTGAACCTGGAAATATGTGCTTAAAATGAAATATTTTTCTTTTATATGTCCAAATTACTCAGGTATCTTAGCCATTTCAGGATCAATACAAGCTCCGTATCCAGCTCAAACACACCAAAAAATAGCAAGGAAAAAATAACCAAAAGGTATAGCCTTGAACGAATTAAGTAAACAACAGAAAACTAATAATTCAATTAAATACGAAACTACTTTGCGAGACTACAAAAAAATAAAATAATAAGCACTTCCTTCGCATCTGCGATGAAAACGACCGAAATTCATAGCCGAGGATAGATTCTCGATCAAATCTTGCGTAATTTAAAACACCTGAAATTTTAGCACCTCTGAATCCCAAAAAAAAATGAAAATACTGACTTTGGGCAGTCGTTCGAAAGACTAGGGTTTTGAAAGGGTGAGAACGAGGTCCTGAGCAATAAGTGGAGCTAGGGTTTTCAGAAAAAAAAGAGGAATTTGGAAAACCTAAAAACAAATACAGAGAAAAAGGAGAAGAAAAATGCCGTACCTTCGAGGGATAGAAGAAGAACAAATCGCAGCGAGATAAAAGAAAGAGAGACGAAGGGAGAGAGGCTCGCTTTTGACTATTGCTTGTGCTGATGACGATGATGCCTTTGTGTTGCTTCCGGTGCTAGTCTGCTAGAAAAGGGAAACCGGATCCGTCGTAATTTTATACCAAAAGTTTTTCTTCCCCAAATGCCCTTCCATTTTCTATTATTTGCAAATATACCCTCCTCCGTGGGGTAAGGTTACCTCTTGACTTGAAAGTTCAGAGTTCATCGTACAGATCCGCTACGCTTTTACATGCACTTTCCCACTAAGCAAATCACAGTGTGACATGTGTCAGGATTCAATGTAAACATTGATGCGAATACGAAATGATATACAGCTGGTAGCTTGCGTGGCTACCAACTCATTGTTCAGATGAGAATACGAAAGACTGGACCCACCCGTCTAAGGAATTATCTGGCCAACACATAAATGGTAAGTAAAAGTGACGAAAGAAATTCGACATGTTTCTGTTTTGTTTTTGTTGGTGCTGTTGTTTGTTGTAAAGCATCTCACATGAAAGATGGATGGCCCGATTAGCCACGTCAGCCACAATATGGCTAGATGCGAGGGAATCATTCAACGGAGGAGGCACTTAGAAAATCCAAAAGTGAAGTCTGATTCTAATCTAATCCCTAAAGAAAGTAATATTTTAGTGAGAAGTGAGTTAATTTATAAGTTCTGATGAAGCATAAATCCAATATCCAACTCTCAAATCTCAATCCATCTGTGGTTAGATTAATTTTTAGGGGCATTCGCCACTGTGTGAAGGACTTCTCTGCATCAGCGCGCACTCAACCACCACCACCACCAGAAGCCAGCGGGAGTGAGGTCCAATTTCCGAGTGGAAAGAACGGACAGATCCCTGATTCCGAATAAAGATTCCCTGGAGAGCTCTAACCAGGAAGCATTGTTGCAACGAGACTCAGGGTCCGTTTGGGACACTCAGGATTTTATTGCACGCGATGTTGTATACACTACTAGACTACGTAACCAATCGTGAGCCGACATGTTAATATTCCGCACCAGACCGAATGGATAAAATCCCAAAAATTCTCATTTATATTCCACTTATATGTTTTGCTTCTCATCGTCTTTATTAACTTTTACGGGGTGTGTTTAGAATCGATGTAAAATGTCATTGGTGTAAATATTTACGTCATCTCAACTCGTCAGCATTTGGAATGAGCATACAATCATGATGCATATAAAACTCCACTCCAATTCAATTTTGAATATGCTTGGATGGAGTAGAATTTTACATTGATTATCGATATAAACATTACATTAATTAAAATCGATGTAAAACTTTACTTTTTCATGCACATTTTTCGAAATTCAAACAGTCACTTTTTTAACAGCTCGATGTAAAACATCATGTGTATGCTTTTACACTAATGACGTTTTATATCGATTCAAGACAAACCTTAAGAAAAATTCATAGCTGTACGCATAATTGAACTAAGTAATCTATCATTAGTGAACGTGTTAATGTTTTGTACACATAGAAATAAAACCCATACCTTATACATATGAAAGTATGAAACATCAATGTGTTCAAGGTAGCTTTGATTAAGCCACTTCATTAAGTCGCTTTGAAGCAGTTACTATATGCCTGGTCCGTATATATATATATATAGTGAAAAAAACACAGAAAGCAAAAATGATGTTTCACGAGCTGAAAGCTATTTTAGGTAGCTTCATGGGAAATTATTTTCATGGGTGAATAAAAGTATATGAGGAGTTTTTCAGGTATTTCACCAAATGTGACTTTGAAGCTTTCCCTATGAGCTATATCTTGCAAAGCCAAAAGCAGCTGCGTGAAAGCTCTCCCAAAAAGGAATTTATAGAAGTTATCTGTACGGAAGAGTCGTATATAATTTTTTGGGAAAATTACTGATTAGCAGCCTGGTCTAGTATTGCTTTGGTCCCCTAAACTTTAAAATGTGATAATTCAGTACTTGAACTTTTGAAATGTATCAATCGAGTACCTATCATTAACCATCCGTTAAGTGACATTTGAAAAAAACACAAATGCCTTTTAAGTGTTATCTAATTTTCTTTATCAACATCCAAAAGTTGACAAAAAATTAACAGTCCCAAATCATTGCCTCATATATTTAAGAAAGTTGGGGTCATCTCTTAGTGGCCTCAACATTATTGAATAGAAGTAGTGATTTGGGATTGTTAAATTTTTGTCAATGGCTAGATGATTGATCAAGAAAATTAGATGACACTCGAAAGGCATTTGTGTCTTTATCAAGTGCCACTTAACAACTAGTTAATGATAGGCATTAGATTGACATGTTTTGAAAGTTTATGTATTAAATCGTCGCATTTTAAAGTTTAGAGACCAAAATGTCACTAAATCCAAAGTACAAGGCACTAATCCGAAATTTTCCCTAATTTTTTTTTAGGATGGGTGACGTGGCCCACGTCTCACAAAGCCAACCAAATCCAAAGAATCCAAACGCTTCGCTCATCGTTCTAACATTGGTTGGACTGTTGGAGTTTGGAAACAGGGTAGGGTACCGTTTTTTCCTTTTTCGCTGTAAGCATGTAAGACGAAGGTAAAGGGGGTACATGCTTTAGGGGATGTTTGGTCACCTACAGATAAGAAGTAGCAACAAAATAACTAGACATTTGAAATCGTCTGATTTAGATCTACGGCTCAGAATACTTCAATAACAACAACCAACATTAACACTTGAGGGCCCTTCAAAATGGGCGCACTGCGAAGCTACCTCACGGAATCACTCAGCTTTCGATGGCTCTTTTATAATTATTGTCAAATAGAAGGGCAATTGATAAGCATTCCGAAGGAACTTAATACAATCACGATATAGTGGCCGATCATTTCGGGGGTGAACAAGAGAAAGCGTCACGTGCTCGAGTGATTACGCCATTGAATCTGCAAGCTGCAGCCAAGGTAGAGTAGAATATTCAGGAGCAAAATTACTGATACGGCCACACTTCTGAATTTATATACTTAATTGGAGTTGGGGATTATGGATCAAAATCTTCGCAAAACTTTGCTTTCATATTTCAAAAATCCATTTGTTGCTTTTAAATTACCTTTTAGCCCTCCAAATAACTTTTCTATGGACTGTTATTCGTCAAAGTTAAAATATTTTTCAATTTTTCTTCTCAAGTTTTGGTTTACTTTTTTTTTCATTTTATCTTGTTTTTTAATTTATTTAATTATTCAGTCAATTTGTTTAGGCTGGAGTGATTTTCAATCATAAGTCATAACAACATGGATAGTAAATGGAAACAATTTTTTAGCCCCGATATTAGGAGGAGCAGCCTCTCTAGGTAATGTTTGGCATTGATGATGAATCTTTTCTACCGATTTTTCAAAATCGGTGATGGTGATTTTTGAAATTGGTATTTTTTCAAAACTCTGGTATCATTTTTGTCATGTAAGTCAATTTTGGAGAAATTGGCTTTGAGTCTACTTGGCACCAATTCTAAAAGATCGATTATATTGTATTAAAGTTATTATTCAGTGTCATGTCATCTTCAAAAAATCAGAGTTAGTTAGAAAATCACTAAGGGGGTGTTCTATAGCATAGATGAAAAATTGGGTAGTGTGTTTTCATCCACACCACACCCCCCTAACAAGGTAGTTTTTCTGCACCGTGGACAAAAATGTGTGGATTGAATCACACCACACCTCCATATGCGTTCTACAAGGTTTGTTGCATTTCATTCCACACCTTGTGTTATGATTTCATGCATCTCAATTACAACATGGGTTAATACACAATATGACAATAATGGGAAATTATGAATGCTTCTCACAAAATCTAGCTAATTTTACAATAATAGGTGCATAAATTCTTACCAGTGGTGACGATAGCTGTTGCAGCGATAGATAACGAGGGTATGGGTGCAAATGGATCGGATCATGATCCGTTTGATTCGAGATCTGATCATATTTGGTCGAATTCGAATCACCCCTATTTGGATCTTCGAGTCGAATAATAGGAACTGATAAAAAATTAAATTGGATTCAGATCACCCCTATCTGATCCAAGAATATCTGATCCGATATATATGTTATATACTTTTTATATAAATGTATAATACATATATATGTTATTTATTTATTTATAAATATAGTATTCATATTGTATTTT